GATCTCTCCCCACCTCTCACCCCCCCTCCCCCGCCTTCCTCACCTTGTCCTTATCATAATACTCCAACACGTGGCCGATGCCAGTGATGGCCTTCTCGTACTCCGTCATGCCGCCTGACCGGCAAGGGACCAGACAGGCGTCCAACGTTCAACGTTCTAAATGCGGGCTAAACCGCACCGTTCGGGTGAAAAACGGCAAAACCCCACGATGCACCCTGCTAGTCGCCGCGAGGGGTGCTACAGCTTCAGAGCACCGTAAAAAGCAACAGCCCCCCTTGACCCGTGGACCTGTTGGACCCCCACCTCCCTAGCAATCTCCCCAAAGCGGAAAACGGAAAGCCTCTCCGCACCTCAGAACCGAAGGCTCACGGAGCGCACCAAGGAAAACACCAAGTTCCTTTGGCTCCTGCGCCCCTGTTCCTGTACATGGCCCTGTTCCTCTACATGGCCCTATTCCTGTACATGGCCCCGGAGAGCCCGCACCTGCGCAGTAGTGCTTTGACGTCGGCGTGGTGGGGTTGCCGTTGCTGGCTGTGAAGTCCACCGCGACTATAAAGCCAATCTCCGTACCCCCGGCAAGATAATCCAAAAACGACGCCGACGTTTCCACCTTGAACGACAGGACCTAAGAAGGTACGGCATAGTACGGCACATGGCATCACAGCCGTGAAGGCCAGCATTGGAGGTTAGGCTCCCGACATACAGACATAAACGCGCAGAGGGACTGGCAGGGGTCAGCAGACGAACGTTCGAATGCTGCAGCTGGTACACAATCGCCGTACCATATCGCCGTACCATCATGTAATGTAATGTAATGTTACAGAGTGGGAGGCTTCTGGGCCGCTTTATCACATTGTCAGTTCTAGATCAGTTCTAGATCGTACCATCAGTCTTACGTACCCGTAACATTCCGTAGTCGCCTGGTGGCTTGCCGGTGGGGGGCTGCAAGCTCACAAAGGCTCCGTGCTGCGTCGCCAGCTCCATCATCCGCTCGGTACTCAACTCGCATTGTCCCAACAAACGGTGGGAGCCGTCGGATTCGTAGTCAAACACCTTTCAGTTGCGCATTCGGAGGCAAAAAACGAGGGCAGGCAGCGATACGGACTGGAAAAGAGCGGAGCCACAATGAAGAACTGCCTTCCAAAAGGAGCTCCGGAACCTCCCGGAAACTTTTTCAAAACGTCGCACAACTCGCCACACAACAAGAAGAGAAGCCTAATACATCAAGGCAAAACACAACGCAGAACTCAGCGCGGCTCTTCGCCGTATTCGTGAGGATATTTCGTAAAGTATTATTGTCCAGGTCGCCTAATATGGTCGTCAGTCCATCAAACCAAGTTGGCAAGTCTTTCAGTAAAACGATGACAAGTCAATATATATTCAACAGAAACCTATAGCCATCCAACTCCTCAACCCTCAAGGCCAGCAGCCAGGCGCCGGTACTGAACCTCTTTGGCAAGACGACTCATACAACCGCTCCTCCAACCGCGCATTTCCCCCCAACATCCTGAACCTCATCACCTCACGAGCCAAGCCGAATGGCCCTGGACTCCCAGGCGCCAGCTCATAACACAAATCCTCCCTCCCAACTCCCCAACCGCAGATAACATCAAGACTTAAATCAAAACTTGCCCATATCCTATGTGCCCGTGTCCTTGAACACCAACGAGCAACACCACCTTCCATCTTCCACGTTCGTCCGGAAGGTCCCATCTCCTCCTTGTACATCATCCGCATTTACCCGTATTCTGAGAGGCCGCATCAAATCGCCGTTGTTGATCTGGGTCGCACGGATGGTGAACTCATCCCAAACTGGATTTAGATTGTTCTTTATCACCTTGGTCTTGTAAACTGGCAACCAGTCGCTGCTCTCGTCCTGTGCAGTTGTCGCCAATCCGGATCCGGATTTGGATCCGGATTAGGAACAACAGGATGCGAGTTGCAGGGAAACATCAGATCAGCATGGAACGTCAGAGCGTCTTGGGACGGATCAAGCAAAGCCAATCAAGGGCCAGGCGAGGTAAGAAAGATAACCGCGCCTAGCGATGTTGACATGCTGTCCCCCAGGGATGCATGTGCATAGCGTAGCGGCCTTGGACCGTAACCAGGCATCGGTTCGATGCCGCTCTGCAATACTTTCTCCCCCCTCTCTTCTCTCTCTTTCTCTCACTCTCTCCCCTTCCTACACCTTCACTCTCACTCCTATCTGTTTTTGTTCAAGCTCTCTTACTGGACTCATAAGCCTGGCGCAGCTGTCCACCAGCCTCTCAGAAACCTCCTCGTCCTCATCTTCCGTCGGAAACCTCCTCCTTCCTCCTAGGAGCATATGCTCTTCGAGGCTCCATTGAGCTTCCGATGGCGAGCCCCGATGACCCGACCCGATCCGACCTTCATCCAGGGCCTTACCTGCTGCCTGCTGAATTGAATGAATGGGTCGGACTTCCCTAGGCTTTCCACATTCCTCAACTTGCTTGCAGCGAGCTGAATCCTGGAGCCATGACAGCCGGATGGAAACACGTGGACGGTAGGCTCAGACAGACAGGCAGATTGGCAGACAGACAGACAGATTGACGGCCCGCCGTGGCTGCGGCTGCTAGAGTGCTGCAGCTCGCAGCCCTTTGCTGGTCTGGGAGCTATGCAGAGCTCTCCTCCCCCCTTCGGCAGAGCGCAGCATCAGGCAGCGAAGCGCAAGCCGTCTAGAGGTGTTGCTGGGCCTCAGACGCGCTGGCTCAGCACGAGGGCAAAGGCGCTGTTCCAGCTAGGGACATGGACATGGAGAGATGCGAGGGGAATGTCAGGTCGACCAGGCTGCGCCTTTAGGTGAGCCGGCTGTTATCGCGTCGGATGGTATTTAGGCATCCAGCCCAGAGCCATGTAAATGATGGCCCATGGTCCCCCCGTACATAGCGCCCCACCGCGTCCCCAACCCATAAAATGCGCAGCTGCCGTTTTGTTGGCGTGAAGATCTCCCAGCAACGCAGAGCTGCTGCTCCTTTCATACGAACCTGTATACTTGCTTACTGTCCGATAACTCCTCCGCCAACAGGACTGCCCGAGATTCCAGGTTCGAGCCTTGCCGACTGATCAGATTTCGCACGAGTTTTTTGCCTGGGGCTGTCACGACCTCGCTTAGAGTGAATTCACACGAGCCCAGAAAGTCCTGGAGGGGGGAAGCCGGCGAGAGGGCGTCTCGCCTCAGCGCGCCTAGCACGGCTTGCAAGGCGTGTCTGGAGCCAGACTTGGCGCGATAATGGCCGGGATATGCTTAGAGACACGCAATATGCACTTGCACATGCGCACAAGTGAGGGATACAGGGATGTGGTGCATGCATACACATGCACAACTCATAATACTTGCAGCGCACTTCCCAGTGCCCCAGAGGCCCCATGCATCTCCAAACACACACGTGCACACACGGACACACGTCTGGGGCCCATTCGTGTTTCTGTGGGTCGATCATGTGTGCCCTGCGAGGCATGTCTGGTGTGTTTACCCCTTGGGGTTGAATCTCTGCCCCAGCCATTTCCCTTGGTATTCCGTGCCGCTTGTTTGCTAGGTTGTTTAGGTTCATAAGTTATCCTCAACAAATCCGTACTGTTTGTTCCCGAGCCCGTATTATTTACACAGTCGTCTGGCTTGACATCTGCTGGGCTTTGTCCTTTGTCGACGTCCACGATGACAACGCGATAACGTTGCAGGCGCTCGAATTGGTACATGAGCTTGAAGGCCTTTGTGAATTTTGGATCTGTTTGCGGGTGGCAGGTATTGGCATCGCAGTAACGGTACAAGGGCTTTTACAGAAGGTGCGTATGAATTTGCGCAGATCCCCCATGTTGGAGAGCATGGAGGGTTTTTAGTTGAAAGGAGGGGTTTTCAGCTATGTTTCCTTCTTGCCAAAAAGGTCTGTGACAAGCTCAGGCATCAAGCAGGGACGGTCGAACTGTGTGGCAGATCCCAGCAAGGGATCTGCGAGCCTGCGCGTGCGCGGCTTTGCACTTACCCAGGGAGTTCACAATCATTTCCGTCCTCCCAACCTCAACCCAGGCTGCGTTCTTCCATTCGTATAGGACTCCAAATGCGTCTGACCGACTGTGTCAACGGGCAACGGAGTTGTAGTACAGGTTCCATCTTAGCGGCTAGAGCGTGCATCAACCCGAAACGTATCCATGACACCTCATGTAAGGTGATCTGATATAAGATATGGACCCACCTGAATAAGTCAGCATTCCTGAGCTTGCGACATTGCAGATGCAACACAACCCAGCTGCAGAAACCCAGACCGCCAATTGCAAGTTCTTTTGCCTCCTCTTCAGCTTGCGTTACTGAGTCATTATGATCAAGTTCACCGACTTGGTACTTGGAGGATTTCACATCGCCACCTAGGCAGTTTCCCATGGCCCTGGACTATGCAGGTTAACTCAATTCGGTTAAGCAGTAATTTAATAATAGTATGGAAAAAAGTTCGGAAAGGGCTGACTGTGGTCAGCAAGGGAAGGGACATACAGCATGCAGGATGGAAAGTACACTGTAAGGAATATAGCTTATGCGACAAGGTTTTCGCTGTTTGTGCCTCCTCACGCAATGGGTGTTACGAATGTACGACGCGTTAGATAAACAATCCCGCAAGGGACAGACTCTTACAAACAAAAGCCTGTCTTGCAACAACAAAAGGAAGTTTCCTCCATGATGAACAGCGTCAGAAGGCATTTGGAAAGTTTGACTGACCGCTACAACCTCCAGCAATAGGCCCCATAGAGAGTTTGCATCTGCCATGTTATCAGAAGCATTTAATTTTGTGTGCGCTTGTAATATGTGCTGTTGTAGGAGTATCGTGACGGTAGTTGGAGTAATGCAACCTATATCAACTTGCTGCTGCAGCACAGTCCCCCTGAACCTTCCTGTCCTGGCCAGGAGTATAGTCCTAGCAAGATGTCTGTCTATAAAGCTTTATTTTCACCGAAGCATTGCAGTACGCAGCAAGAGAATGCACCTTGTTCACCATGGCCGGTTGACGTTGCAGATCTCTGGAACCCACGCACGCTTCACTGCACCACAGTTTTGAGATGATTTTGCAGTCAAATGTACTCCGGCATCATGATGTCGCATTCAAGCTAAAAAAAAGTCATTTCAACGCGCATTGTATGGAAACAGGTGTTGCGGTTTTGAGGCATGGCTCTCCGCCCTGTCGGCACTGGGAGTCCTGGGCGTTGCTGCAGCTGACTGCGGCTTACGTGGTGTAAGTGCCGGACAGCCAACAAGGGCCCCTGCTGGGGAGATCGCGAGTGCCAACGGCGATGATATAGCCTGCAGCAGCTGATGCTGCAACCGAGGCTCCTGCAGGGCCTCAAGCTGGCTGGTCACGGGGACCGCCGCTCCGAAAGCTTCAAATACCGCCTTCTTGTGATCGGCGTTATAGTTGCTCTCAACAGTCCAGACGAGCGCCTCGTTTTCCAGTAGAATCTTCTTCTGCCATTTTTGTAGCTGTATGTATGTTTCCGGCAGTTTGGTCGAGTTGTTTTCGGCAGCCAGCTGCAGATAGTCGTTCCCGACGAAAGGTAAGTTTCTGTCAACTCTGTAGTCACCTACGACAGCCCTGTACCGGTGCTAAACTCCTACAGACAGATCCGATCGGAGGTAATCTTCGACACTTGGGGCACTAGGGACTTTCGTTCTCGGTTCGCATTGAAGAGAACAGCTGCTCTGCAAGCCTCTCTGCCTGATGGCCGTTAGGAGGGCCGCCCTGCGAAGCCAATTAAACGCCAAGTAAACCGGCCAAGTAAACCGGATGGTGGGCGACCTGCGCCGACCACTACAGACAGAGTCGCAGAGACGCCACTAAACATATCAATGCGGAAATGACCTACCGTCATGGCTAAGCGCCTACTGCCTACACTCGGGGACCGACTTGGTCATGGATGTGGTCATATGGGGGGTTTCCTGTCATAGACCTGGTCATAGACCCGGTCATGTTGCCTCACGACCATGCCGCATGCTACCGGTCATGCCACCGGTCATGAGGCATAGTCATGGCCATGGCGGTTGTCATGCTCCTTATGTGGCATAACTGACCATGGATTGCCCATGCTTTGCATGTTTGAATCCTGGATCCAGCAGTACAAGTTGTACCTGTAATGGAGAAGCCATCACGGAGGCATTACAGTGTCTCTCATTTAATAGTGCCAGCTACATGTAATTTACATTTAAAAATATACATTTAGTGTTTGACCGCACAAACGACAACAAATCTCCTCGACTTTCCTTTGAACGCTAGCTTGCTCAGGTTGTCGGTGATGCAGCAGTCACCAATTATTATCAGACGGGCCTTCATCACCTTGAAGCCTGTCGGTTTCCTCCAGCAAAGTGGAGCCTAGCGGACCCTGGTAATGTCCGCGACCTCAAGAATGGAGATGAAGGCCTTGGGGGTGCCTTGAGAGAGGATTGTCTTCCTCAGATGTCATATTTTATTCTATTCTGGTCTATTCACTCAATGTGAATGAGCTCCCCACAGGAACAGGTGTGTTCGTTGACCCGCCGCCAACATGGCATTTAAATGTGGTTGCCAGCCAGCAGCCGACTTCAACCTGCTTAGACCTTTCTAAATAAATCCACTCACCCTTCTTTTCTTTATTTGCCAAGATGGCATGGCTGGGGCTGCCCAGTGGCAGTGTGGACCAGCTGCAGGGGTTTCTTACAAGAGCGGTGACAGGAGACAGCGATCCAGAGGTGCTAATAGAATTTTGCCAGTTGCGAGGACAATACTCATGTGAGGTGCCCAATGGGTGCACACTGATCGACTACAACTCCATCGCCTCCTACGGGTACCCACGTGGCCAACACTAGATATCCCTGCCACACTCCAACCTGCACCAGGCCAGACTGCATTGCAGCTCGTTGCACAACAGCCAGCTGCCCCTGAGTCGGCCACAGTGGCCCCACTCTTTGACTTTGACAAGTACAGCAAGTATTCCATTGGCTTGGCTGCAAACGGGGTGGCCATCAAGAACTACCGTGAGGAGATGCATGCCTCAGAGGTAGCGATGAAGAAAGCAGCGGGATGCAAGAAGGTCAAGCGGTTGGTGGCCCCCAAAACAACAGCTTTCAAGAAATCTACTATTGGCTACAAACCTGGCCAGGTTACGAGCAATTTCAGCCAATGAAGCTGGGAGGGAGAACAGGGCCACCAACCGCTTGACCTTCTTGCATCCCGCTGCTTTCTTCATCGCTACCTCTGAGGCATGCATCTCCTCACGGTAGTTCTTGATGGCCACACCGTTTTGCAGCCAAGCCAATGGAATACTTGCTGTACTTGTCAAAGTCAAAGAGTGGGGCTGCTGTGGCCGACTCAGGGGCAGCTGGCTGTTGTGCAACGAGCTGCAATGCAGTCTGGCCTGGAGTGTGGCAGGGATATCTAGTGTTGGCCACGTGGGTACCCGTAGGAGGCAAATGACCCCTCTGTTTCCCCTACATGTGCATGTGGGGAAAGCCCCAGTCACGTTGCGCCTTGGAGACAGTGCGGAATGTTAGCCCCCCATCCACGAGTGGTGGGTGGTTTTCGTGCCAGCAATGATCCGGTACAATCTATCGGTAATACAGATGTTATCGGAGTAGTTTCGCTTTATCCTCTTCGTTGCAAAAAATTTACCCTATTCCAGGATGAAATTAAGAAGGTTCTTAAAAGGATGGGAGATGATGTCTCGTAATGACGTTCCTGGGTGCTGGGGGAGATGACTTAGGTCAAGTTCCACAGGAATGAGCGTTGTTGACTGTGACGGTCAGTCGATTAATTTCTGGGATCACCCTCATGCCTTTCCATCCGTTGTGTTGCTCCGCCGTACGGGGATGGGTGTCCATTAGTGGCGTTCCAGTGCTGCAATTATGACTGGTCGACTGGTGTGTGATGGGCCTTGCAATTGTTTCAATCAGACCAAGCAGTGTGGGCTAGGTTCTAGCTGGGTGGTATGGTACGTTGGGATAAATTTGCATTCCGCAGCCTTTAACATTGCTTACAGTGTTTTTTCGGAGTTGGTGGTTAATGATAACTGTAAGCGGCTAGTTCGCTCAGTTTAGTCCATGGACATTTTCCCCCCTGCCCAGCCAAATCTTCGAAAGTCTGGAGTCGTCAGCGGGTTGGGAGCCTTGATGGTAGGTAGGCGGGCGAAAGAAGTTTACCGGCATGGAGTTGCAAGCCATAGGACGACGCCCGTTGGTTATCTATCACGCTTCGACATGGGACTGTGCAGTTACGACCGCGAAAAAATGACCCCAACTACTGCTAAATTGCAGGAAGCAGCAGACAGGGAACAGGGCAGGGAGGAACGGGTAAAGCCGCGAAGTTGCGCGTGGCTGTGAAAGCAACGCTTTGCATTGTGGCACCCATCATGGCCGCCGGTAGGCATCCCTGGATAAAACGATTTACCTTCAGGAGAAGTTACCGCTGTCGCGCCACACGACTGTAGCATCGACAAAAAAGACAAAAAACATGTGGGAACGACAGACTACGTGACACCGCACTGGCTTTGCCTGCCTGACATGACATACTAAAGCCCTGCGGCTGTGCCATATGCAAGCTTAGGTCGTCTGCAGAGGTCGTCTGGCCCTGCTGGTTGCCTCATTAGGCCTTCGTGACAGATAGGCAGACTTATAGTTAGACCTTTCTTTGGCAATGATGTTCTGGGAGCTGGTTTTCATCTTAGGTGTCATGAATGGACATTTTTCTGTAGCTTTAATTGAACACGGCGAGGAAGAAAAGGCTGTGGCCGTTGGACAATCACTTGCAACGATATGGCAGCCGCTATGTTGCGTTTGAGATTGCTAAGGGGGGTTGAATCGGTTGCGGAGCGAGTCATCACTCCTTATGACTTCTATCTAGTCCCGCCCAGCCGGTATACATCCCCAAACTCTTAGCTTAGTCCGCAAGCGCAAATTAAGGTATTAGGATGGGAAACTTTAGGATTCAGCGAACCTAGACGAAGAATACTTCCTAGAGACTGTGCGGTCCCTTCATGTTGCCTGTAGTGGCTTTCCTCGAGAAAAGAAAATCGTTTCCCTGCTGCATAAGGAAAGGGGATGCACAAGAGCAACGTTAAACCATTAATGATGTTCCCACAGAGTTGTAAAGATAGCCTCTATCGGCTGTTACGGAAAAATTCATAAAACAGGCGCGTCCACGGGCAAACTACAATGTGCCCGTTCTTTCAACACCACTTGTGCGTCTGGCAAATGAGTTAGTAGAATTAAGAAAAAAAAATCATATATTTTACTGAAACGCGAGGACGCAGTTTCTCAGTTTGCAGCGCCGTTGCGGAGTCCTCACACCATGTCGTACGCGCGGCATTGAGAAGTATAATGGGTCTCTATCGGGTTCGGAAAAAAGCACGTTTTTAAGCTTTTCAATAATTCATTCACTTCATATCAGTTCAGATTAACTTTTATTTGTAGACGGTACCTACCGCAAAGCAGGATGGGCAATTGTTTGCATATCGATGTGGAAAGCAAATACGCAGTTGGGGATGTGAACATGGCTGAGTCATTAAGTAGTTCCTCAGAAGCTGAGGAAGCGGCTGCCCTTTTATCTGGCAGTTTGGCTTACAGCACCTGGGTCGAGCTCAGCCTTGAATGCAAAAACGTGCCGCATGCCGATTATTTAAGGTGAGTTAGGAAAGTAGAAGGTCGCAACGCTGTTGGTCTGCCCAGGATTGTCGCAAGCAAAGTCCCCTTGCCATTTTCCTGCCAACGTTTTGACCTCCGTAGCAAGTCGGACCCCATGGGTGTCCTCTTTCACCATCGCGACGGTTCCTGGGTTGAGTTTGGAAGAACCGAAATGATTGCAAACACGTATGGTAAGTTCGTGGTCCTTAGCCAGTTAGACCACAACAAGTTGCTTTTGCGACTCTGGGCTGTTCTCTGAAGCTGCATGATCTTTTGCCGCCGCAGACCCTACATTTATCAGAAGGTTCCGCCTTATGTTCAATTTTGAGGTTGTTCAGAGGTTTCGAATCATCATTGTGGACATTGATAAAGGCCAGGACCCCAGTACTGTGCACCCGGAAAGCTGCGTAAGTTACGTCCACGGTTAAATCAAATAGTAATAAACATTCTCTTATTTATTTTTGGGCAAGTGCAACTAGGCTTATCAGAACAAAGCTCCATGGGCGGGCTACTACCCGGGCGCCAGCAGTAAGCAGGAGCTAAGGCATATGCCTAGCCCGCGGCATGTTACAGCCTTGTGCACAGCCTTGAGTTTATTATTTTCAAAACAACTCCGAAACCTACACAACGTGCATGCCACTTGCTTGATATTTCTTTTCCTTCGTTTCCTGGGTCCTTTGCGCAGAACTTTTTGGGGTTTTGTGACTTTGAGCTGGCACAAGTATTCACCGGCGCTGGAAAGAAATTGACACTTGAATTGCGCGATGACCAAGGGAAAACCTTTCCCAAGTCCACCATAACTCTCACAGCCGAGGAGGAAACAAGCTGTAAAGACGTTTTCAGGTAAGCCCATGTTGCAGAGCTCAGCGGGCTTACCCAGCATTCCGGCATTTCTCATGGCGGAACAGTTAGGAGAAAGGCATTCGTCATTCCTTGGCGAAAATTTTGTTTGAATGATAACTACTCCACGACCTTTAGGGTTTTGCTCTATGCAAAATTTGCTTTGTATTCTTTGTCAAAAAGAATTGCTCGCTGACATCAAACGGCGAGGAATACAGAGTCTTTGCGGCTTTGCTGCGCGACAGCGGTTGGACCAGCTGCGCCTGGGATGACAAGCCAGGGATAAAGCCCTAATTAAGCCCTACTTAAGCGCTACTTAAGCGGCGTGTCGTCGCAGTATTGTGTGCGTACCGAGTTAGCTCTCGGGTGTCTCAAGCCGCTTCTGGACATTTTTCTCCCGTCCTCGTGCCTAACCTGGCAACAGGTTCCAAATCGAGGCTTCAAATCTCCGCCCTGCAGACGCCCTAGGGAAGCCAGACCCCTTCCTACAAATCAGTCGGCTGCAGGTGGGCGAGATAATGTGTGGGCTGGTCCTGCGGTACAAAAAGCCTGATGACATACATACGCACAGGGCCAATCGATGCCATACATGATGATATACCTTGCTTCAGGAAAAACATGCCTCAATGCGGTTATAACGCGGCTTGCCGCACTGTGCTATGCGTCACGCTGGGTCCTGTCGTGTTTGAGGGCGAGGTCACCGGCCATTGCTGCGTTTTGAGAAGTAGGTCCGTTTCCTGCATATTTGGCGGACAACCTATTTTGCCTTCAGCACCGCTACTGTCAATGGCTGGCTCAGCTACATAATCAACCATTGAGCACCGACTCGTATCGGGCAGGTTTGCAAAGACAAGTTTTACGCACACCCCAACCACTCAATGCCAAACCAGCACCCACATTCACACAAAACTCTCTGTCCATGTTGTATCCTGGGGGTTGTATCACGGAATTCTGACATCCGCCGTTCGGTGCATTTTCTGTAGCAGTGACACACCAGTACTACCTACTACTACGCAAAACGCGTGGGGCAGCTCCTTCCACACGCCGCGGCATAGCCCTTTCCCGTGCACGCCTACCATCCATGCAAGCGCCCACGCGTCCGCACCGCGCCCGCGCCGTGCCCGCGCCGCGCCCGCGCCGCGCCTGCGCCGTGCTCTGCTTAAGCCCTTACATGTAATCAAATCCATCACCTGGGCTTCCCTAGCATGCTAAGCATTTGAATTAAGTAATCGAAGTCACGTGACGTGCTGCGATGCCGAGCATATCACACCCTGTTTCAACGACACCTCATCCTTCGGCTCGTATGGGTAGTTTTACAGGTATGGGGTCACGCACCCCCCAACCATGTAACACACACACACACACAAACACACACACACACAAACACACACACACACACACACACACACACACACACACACACACACACACACACACACACACAAACACACACACACCATCCTGTCCGGCCGCAATGCAATTTAAGCAAGATAAAGACTGCTTCCCTAAGGCATGGCATCCGCTTCAGCTTCTCCAGGTCATGCCCCGTCACGACAATTTACCTCCACGCCCCCAACTACATGGGCGCCTTTACTCCCCAGGACGGCGGCACTTCGTGGCTTCCGGTATTCAAGTCAGAAGCCATCCGAAAGTGCACATGCCCCGTCTGGCGAGGGGCCGAAATGCGAGCGGGCCAGCTTCATAACGGCGACATGCACCGCACACTGCGGTTTCAGGTGCGGCCGGCTGCGGCGGCCTGTGTTAAGGGCTGCAGCCTGCGTTGTACACTACACTCCCTTCCAGCGGGCTTGTTTTCTTTTTTCTTGGCTGTCAGACCTGCAGCGTACATTCGCTTGATCGATTCGTTTCTGGCTTCTTTCTTACCCACTTTCTCTCTTCCTCGTTTTCGGGCGGAGAGACCACCCATCGTGAAGCACCTTCATGAGGGGTGACAGCGCTACAAAACTGCGTATGATGAAACCGTGCATGTGTGTGTGCACAGATAGGAGACCAGTCCCACCGTATGCGCATGCGTGCGCCAAATCATGCACGCAGGTGTACGATTACGAACGCAACGGTGTCCATAAATTGCTGGGTTACTGCGACTTGAGCGCGTCACAGCTGCTGGAGTTGGGGTCCCAGGGCGGCGCAGCTATTCCGTTAAAGCCTCCGCCAGGAAAGCGACGACCGGGCAACTTTGGCACGCTACGGGTGGGTAGCCTGGGGGGACAGGTTTGCGGTCACGAAACCCGTGCACGCGTGCATTATCCACGTATGCAGACAGCAGGTCTTCTTACGGGGTGTGTGGTGTGCATCGTGTGTGCATCGTGTGTGCATCGTGTGTGAGTGTGTGAGTGTGTGAGTGTGTGTGTAATGCTCGCCTATTTAGAAGGCAGGAGCAGGAGTTCTGTGTCGCTGTGTGTTAGGGCTTTTAGGGCGTACTGCCTCTGGCGTTCGTGTTCTCGCTTACCTGTATATTTCCTTTCCTCGGGTCACATTTAGGTGAAGTACGTTGTGAGGGAGCTTCGACCGTCCTTCCTGGACTACATCGTCGGCGGTGCGGAGGTGGGGTTCGTGGTGGCTGTGGACCTCACTGCCAGTAACGGGGACCCCCGACTGCCCACATCCAAGCACTACATCTCCTGTGAGTGAGTGAAAAGATATTGAAGAAGGGTAACGCAACTCGAGGTATAACACACGCACGCACATTCACCCACCCACCTATCCACGCAGATCCCTTTCTCTTTCTCTCATACATACATACACACACATACATACATACACACACGTACACAAGTCCACGGTAAGGTTTCGTTGTGCCCGGGGCACCTATCTGTCCCGTTTGTCGTCGCAATGTACGCGCTGCGGTGGCATATGGCCCTCAGGATAGTAAAATAAGGTTTTAGTTCCTGTCTAGTTGGGACTTTAGGTGCCCTCGTTGTCTGTGCAGTGAGTTCTAGCCGCCCACCACCACCACCACCACCACCACCTAGTCGCCCTTCGCCGCTACACCGCTGATCAGGATTCGCATCTTCGGTCAATAAGTCAATAAAGTTATTCGTGTACCAGCATTGGCATTTCCCTCACATCGCGGCTCAGGTTATTAAAACAGAAACACACACAAACACACACAAAGACAAAAACACGCACACAAGAATCACAAGATGCCGCTGATTTCTGCGCCCGGCGGCAAAAGCGACATAACTTGTCTGAGAGAGTGCCCTTCAGTAATTTGTGATTGAAGTGCCCAGATGCGTGACATGTACCGGTAATCAAAGCGCTTCTCGCATACCCCTAACCACCCAACGGACCCAACCGAATGGTCTCTCTTGTCCACTGTTGGCATCATCAACATCCCTAATCCATATCACCCCTCTCTCTTTGACGCATGCACCCACCCACCGAAACACACACACACACAGGCGCTCCCACGGAGTACGAACATGCCATAATGGGCGTTGGGCAAGTTCTTATGCACTACGACAATGACAAGGTGCGTGACGTACGACTGCTCACTCACTTTCTCCACGGCACCGTACACACGTACGTTATGTACGTATGTACGGCACGCAAGCGTTTGCACTGTGCAGAGCAAACTTCGGGGTGCATTTGTCTGCTGGCAATCACGTTGGGAAAATAATTGTAATATAGCTGTAGACGTATAGTCACTCTCGGCACAGAAATCACCTTAGACTATGTGGGCGTGCTAACCCGTTCCGCCAGCACCGCAATAGACATTTTCTAGCGGGGCCAGCAACTACAGGAGTAGTAGTAGCATCAGCAGCTGCTTTCCTTTAAAACGCAAAAAACCAATCAACCTATTAATCAATAAAGCGAACGGTACCTATCTCCAAAAATGTAAGAAACGAACTAATGCTTGCCTCCGTGGAACCTGTGGATGGCTCCTTCCTATTGATGTGTGCGTTACCCACACATATACACACAGATGTTCCCCATGCTTGGATTCGGGGGTCGCAAATGCAGCGAGAAGGCCGCCAGCCACTGCTTCACGTTAGGAGATGGTCCCGACGGCAGCTGCACGGGGATCAGCGGATTGCTGGCGCAGTACAGGTATGCATGCTTACGTTGTGTTGGTGGCTGCTGGGGCGGTACATATATATTCACAGGAAGAAAGAAAGCCGTCGACCGCGCTGGTTACTGGCCATGCGCCACGGGTTTACGTACAGCTCTGCCTTGGTTTGTGATCAACTGCATCCGTTAATCAAGTTAATGGTCCGGGGTTAGTGAAAAGTAGAAAAACGTTTTATTAGTAGAGTAGAAAGACTTTTTTTAGTTTACGTTAAGGACTTTTCCGCCTCCTCCTATCGTACCCTCACCCAGACGTGCGCTCGTCAATTATGCGCTTTCTGGGCCCACCTACTTCGCTCCGGTTATCCGTGAGGCAACCCGCCTTGCCGCCGACAGCCTCAGAGCTGGCGGTCCCATCAAGTATACCTGCTTGATGATACTCACAGATGGGTGAGTGTTAATCCGCTACTGCTACTGCTATTGCTGCTGTTGCTACTGCTGTTGCTGTTACTGTTGCTACTGCTGTTGCTGCTACTGTTACTGCTACTGTTGCTACTGCTGTTGCTGTTCCTCTTGCTGTAGTCGTTATCGTTCTCGTTTCTTGACACAAAAAATGAAAAACGCAAGGAGGCCTCACAGGTTTCGTTTCGTCGATCTAATTAACAACGACGGCGTCGTCCATTAATATCTTTGTGTGTCGTACGCTTCCTTGCGTACAGGGAGGTGATGGATGTGGACGCGACTATCGAGGCCATCATCGACGCCTCAGCGCTGCCGCTGTCGATCCTCATGGTGGGGATTGGCTGTGAGGAGTTTGGCAAGTTGAAGGTGGGTGATGTGGGGATGTGCAAGGTCGTCGTTTGCACGGGGGGGGACATGTGCGTACATCTAACTCGGTAGTCCTCCTCCTGTTCAGTCCGCCATGCACTTGCTGCTTAATGCCTGTTGGCCTACAGCCAGCAGAGCCCGCCTGTTGTCTGTTTGTCCGTACTAATCCGTACATACTTGCTATTTGTTTGCCGTTTACCAATACTCTTATCTTCCCATCTGTTACTGCATGTGAACTGCACATACATGCTGTCGTCGCCGAATATTGCAATTTTTGAGTGTGCACTGTCGCCAACCAACCACCATGCGATGCAATCGATCCTGAATAGATCCTTCAGGATCTATTCGGGATATCAGCTGATAGGCATCGATGCCATGTACCGCGCACCGATTCCACACACCGTACTCATTCGTTAATGGTGTCATGTACGTGGCGTGCTTGCTTCCATCTACCGACTTCATTTCCGGTTTGAATGCTGAAAACAAACCGCCGTTATATTTATATATATACCGGTATAACCAACCGCTATTGCGCAGATGCTAGACAGCGACAAGAGGTTGCTCACGAACGGCCGCCGTACAGCAGTACGAGACATCGTACAGTTTGTTGAGTTCAACCGCTTTGCGTGCGACGGCCCAAGACTGGCACGCGAACTGCTCGCGGAGTTACCAGGACAGATGGTCGACTACTGGGTTCGCAACAAGATCCTGCCGCCGCAGATGGTGTTGCCGGGGCCTGTTGGCGGGGAGAAGAACTTACCTGCTGACCGATCAGCGAGCGTGGTGGATGCGGACGAATGCATGGTGACTTTGGCGGCTGGAGCCGCATCGGCGTGACTTAAGCAGCAGGGGCAGTCTGGCGCATCTCGACGCGGCTCATCTCAATTCAGCGACCGGGATGATCATAAATGAATAAGGAATATGGAACGCCGTAGCGTGGTGAGCATGCGCACCGTTCGCCCGATCCTGCAGGATTCGCGTATCTACCTACGTACTTCTTGATCTAGCAATAGTTCTATCTATGGATTGCGTCTCCTATGCGCCGTCCTTATTTATGTTTGCGCTCCTTTGCATCTGCGTGCATTCCTAATTCTTTCATCGACCTGCTGCATCTACCTCGCTCGGCTGCGGTTCTTGCTGCCGCTAGCTGCGACTGCACTGCGGCGTGGCAACAAATGATCCGAAGTTAAAAGATTAGGCAAAGAAGATGTATACGGTCAAGCGATGATGAAAAAGCTGCTGGTGGCAAATCTCAAGAAAGATAAACGTTTCCTCATTTTTTTACGTCGTGCGATGTTGGTGCTGTGCAGACACATATGTGGTGTATGTGTGGTTGTTACGGTGGGCTCCAGAATTACGAAGAGTCTGGTGGGCGATACGCAGCGGTCAAGGTGCAGCGTTGGTTGGTTTGTATGCCTGATACGTACGCAAAGCTTCACTACGTATCATTCGTTCTGTTTATGGCAGTCCGACCAGTGCCGCTGCTGTTGCTTCTGCTGCTGCTTCTGCTGCTGCAATAATGCATTGCTGGCATGCCGTGAGCTTGTGGTGTAGCAGTGTTGGTCGGTGCGCGGATTCATGCATGTCCGTGCTTCGTTGTCGTTGTGTTGGTCGTGATCTGCTGCCTACCTCTACAAGCGTACAACACGTAATTTCCAATCGTTTGCATGATGGATTACTACTGACACACGCCGGCAATCCACTGCGCGTTTGCTCGTACCGCTCTCGTTCACCATTAACGCACATGTCGTGGTGAAGATATGTTGAGGGCGTCGTCTTGTCACAGGATAGGTAGGACCTTGCACGCATCGATGAACTCGGCACACGTGACGAATATTGTTCTTGCTTGGATAAAGTTTGTTGTGGATCAATGGTAATTAATGGCATAGCGTAATGTTAGCTTGTTAGCTATAGTTAGGTGCGTTAGTTAGTTAGTTAGGTGCGTTGCTGATTTTTGCGTGTTTCTCGCAGCGGTGACGACTCAGCTGCGACATGATGCATGCATACAGGGCACATCCTGAACATTTTGCTTGCATGCATTCTGCACTTTGCATACACGCATGGACGGAGGCGGCCCTGCGCTCATGGCTTGCTGGCACGCACCAACTTGCTGGCTGGAAGGGTCAAGTGATGAAAGAGAGAGCATGTCTCGTGCATAACGTGCGTATGTGTGTATGCGCGTGATCACATCAGTCGTGACATAACGGTTATGTCACGATTTCAGAAAAGTACCGATCGGCGGATGCAGATCCCCCGTGATGATGATATGGCCAACTGACCCTAAGTTCTGCATGTTTGGGCTTAGGTCGTCGTTTCGCAAAGCTTGTTGAGAAGCTTGCCAGTGCTCGAAGGTTGTAGGTGTTGTTTGCAAACAGAGGCGTTGGAGAGGTTGGCGCGTCATCATGGCTTTGGCGGCGTCAGTGCTGGGTAAGGAGCAGTGTGATGCTGCTCTACAGGTGGCATTATTGTTTTTTCGTTGGGGCATCAAGCTTATTATGGTCTGGAAGATGTATGCATATGCATGATGGATTGATACGAGACAGCGGTGCGTCGGTATGTTTGTTTGCATTCTTGGGCACGGAGGAGCTTAAGTGGGTCCATCTTATCCTTGCGGTTACGAGTAATCTTGCCATGGGATATCATTGGCGGACGGACGAAGGCTTTGTTCTGTTGCACGTGCGTGTGGTGTGCACTTGCTGCTGATGAATTAATGCGCCCGCCTGCCGAAGCGTGCCAGGCAGCGGCGCTCACCGCACTTCCAGCGGTGGTGAAGTGGTGGTGCGTGCATACCAGCACATTCAGCTTACTTAATTTATTAGCTTGTCATGTATTGCTCTTCAACCGTGCGAGTCGGTTAGGCTGTATGTGTTTGACTGTATGTATGTGACTCATGATAATCACCAGCAGCTGCTGATTTACTAAACATGGTGTTGTGATTGGCTGCAATGCTATCAAACGCTATCTGTTAAATTTCTGCCCCTTGAACAACCAAGCCTGGCAGTACTAACCTGCAGGCGTTTATCTACCTTGCAAGCGCGTGGATTGACGCCGTCATAGGTCCTGTACTGATGGTCAATTGTTTGGTTGGTGTTTGCTTCGTTCATAGCACTTGTACAATGAACTATTTTCGTTTAAATTCATTACGTAATTAGGACAAATTGTCTCTGTCTGTTTGATTTAAGGTCTTAGTCTGGACATGTAAGCTGCCATCGGGCAGGGTAACTCGTACATGGCGGCGGCGGTATTTAAAATGGATAATAGTATATACCCTTGTTGTAATGATGGAATCTGACTTTCCGTGATGTGACTTTACATGTTTTTATAAACGCGTAACTTCCTTGGCGGCCGGCATCTAGCATCTGTTGCCGTTGCTTGACAGCAGGTGCTGCGACGAACACAAGAGCCAGATTGCATTTACGTAAAACGCCAAATGTTCTTCATTTAGTTTTTATGTCTTTGCCTGGTTCGACCGCTTCATTAACATACAGCATCTCTCTTGCCGCCGCTCTGTCTATTTATTAGCTCATCGCAGCTCCATTACGATGAATTAAAGCCGCACGAAATGAGGTCAAACAACCCCCAAACAGCAGAAAATATCAATTACATATATGCATTTTACACGTGTCTGAGATATGTCGATATTGGTCGCCATCAGTCTCGCCAGGACACTCCAGGTCTCGCTATCGTGACGTGATGATGACAGAGAAATAGGATTGAACAGCAACCAAGCAAAGAAAGACAATGTAAAGAAGTGAAGCGGAAGACAAGTCGGGTGTAGGCTTCCTCGAAGCCGGAAAAAGGGCGGGCCCGCCTGCATCCGTACAGGCCGGTAGCTAGCGTGGCACGTGTGACAATTGATAGGTAGTGTCAACGCGGTGGAAGATGTGCTTTGTTGCAGCAGTGCTGATGGTGTGGGAGCTAAGCTTGCACCGGCGGAATCGTCAGCACCGCCTGCGGGCTCCACGCGAATCGCATCCATCCCGTGTAGTAGCCGGTACACAGTACGGCTCTACAAATACGCGCGTAGCGCGACCACCAGCGTCTCGAGAGGCCTTTTCAGCGGCCAGCTACTACATCCCCGGTGCATGCCACATGGACAGTGCGGCAGACGCCGGAATGCCCGTGCGGGCAAATGGTAACGCAAGCTGGGTGAAGTTCAGTTCTGTCTGTGATGTTTATCCCCGAAGCGCTAGCGGCCTCAGCAATCCGCCGCACAGCCGCGAGCTTCATCGCGGCACACCGCAAGTCTCCGGAGGCCCCGAGCATTGGCTAAAGTAAACGTACAAACGAGCAGCTTGCGTATTTCATAGAGAAATGAAAACAAATTTGTCGGCCTGTTGGTGGCAAGTCGGAGTGCCCGTGCGGGCAAAAGGTAACACAAGCTGGGTGTTCAAGTTAGCATACGCTGTCATCTCAGAATTCACTTATGAGATACACGGCACCTTTTGAGATGAAATTTAGCCCGAGAGGCGTTGATGTGACTTTGAGCTCGGTCAATGGAGGCAGCCAAAGTTGTTTGTGCTCATACGATCTTTGTTAGCTACATGCGAAATACCTTGCAGTAGAAACTGCTATATAGTACCGATAGCGCGTTTCATCCGGGCGAGATAATATGTTTTGTCCGTTACGCACACGCGCACACACGAACACAAGGACATGGGCAATCCTACAGGTCGGGGCCCCCCCTGGGCGCTTCGCGCTGGGGCCCCGCCCAAAAATTACAGTTTACTTTAGGACCACTTTAATCCCTGTACTGGTCACCAGTAGATTTTGTTCTCGCAAGTATGTAGGGTCGCGGCCCCAAGTATCCGTGTTGCCGGTCTCCCGAAACCGCTCACTGGCGTATGGTTGAAGGTCCTACCAAGCCGCCACCCTCAACCAGAGCCCCTCAAGTGCCATCAACAGTCCCACACCTCGGGCGGTGCACTTAACCCCGCTGGCAGATGGCCGCAAGCCGGGGGCGGACCTGGACCCGATTTAAAGAGCTGGGCAATCCAAGCTGCACTCCCTAGACCGTTGAACCCCTACCCAATATTGAGAACCTTGGATATTACGGCGTTGCAAGTTCTCCTTCTTTAAGGGAATTCGGCGTATCCGGCGATAACAGATCTAGGCAACGTAGCAGGACGATGGCCACGCATTGGCAACCCCCTATTCGCTGTTGACGCCATTTCCTGTACAGGCAATATAGCCTCCGCACCAAGAGCTTCATCATGCTTTTGAATGTCAGGGCTACCGCTCTTCCCTATCATAATGGCGTGTCGGTGGCCAGGTGGTTAACCGTTAACCGTTTGGGGTTTCAGGGTACGTGCCATCAGGGTACGGCAATAACTTCATCACAGGCCCGTGCCGGTGATAGATGCGTAAATGCTTTTGGCAGCACCTATATCAGAATGTTGTGTATAGACGAAGCCGTTGCATCTTCGCTTACATGGTATAGTAGGTATAAGACCCCAATTACCCCATTATCCAGTATCCCCTCCGAAAAAACATAGCTACAAACACGCGAAGAAGAAAACATCGTTTTGAGAGGAACTATCTCACACCATCCATTATTCACTCTCGTGGACGTAGTAGTACATGTAACGGTATATGTACATGCACACGCACTGCTGTTCCCCTGCGCCACGCACGCCATTGGTCATCAGCACCCGCCAGCAGCACGCTTGTGATAAAACACGCCATCACTGTCATCACCCAGCAGGTGACCCTGCTGAGATGCCGACGACACACACACACATACACATACACACACAATCAGTTTATATTTATTTGTGTAGAGTCCAACTAGGTTTGCACTTTAAAATAGTGATCTGAACCCGCGATGACGGAAATGCCGATGGTGGTACACGAGAATAATTCTATCTTCCGAAAGCGAGCTCCTTTCTGTGTCTGTATGTGCTTGGTCGACAGGTAAGTGTTAAGGGAAAAAAACCCGAAGTGCCTCCGTCCCCCGTAACACACGTCAGACTTACGGCCGGCACAATGCCCTTGGGCCTTCGGCTCGTATGGGTAGTCTTACAGGTATGGGGTCACGCACCCCCAACCATGTAACACACACACACACAATGCGTGTGTGTATTACACCTCGTTTGCGCTACCCAGAGGTGTAACGAGCCCATACACGAGCCAGATGTAAGCCCAAGAGCCCAGGAGCCGCAAGTATTAAACAATAATACCAGTGATAATAGCGCTCAACTAGGATCAATCTCGCCAGCCTTGTATCCCTTCATACGATATGAAAGTAGATTTGAGACATGGATCTTGTCGAGGTGACGCAGCGGCGGTTGTGCAGTCCATGCAACTCCACGCCCACGCACCACACTACGTGCATTAATGCTTTTGTTTCGCTCAAGTCCTCGCATATTCAAAAGGCTTAAGCGTACGAAGGTTTGTACAGGTCTCCAGGGGGATACTGCAGGTACGGCAGTGTTCAGTGTGGTGTAACGCTTACTATCTGGTAGGCAGGTTCTTGCGGTTCGCCATGACCTTTTCTATACTCACCCCAGCAGTCGGCGAGGGCACAGCCATGGCTGCGCAGGAGCTATATACACAGGCGATCATCATCAGGGTGCCGTACCGCCAAGCCACCAGACGCTCAGTTATCATGTGTGTGTTGGGGGTGCGTGACCACATAAATACCTGTATAACTACCCACACGAGCAGAAGGCCCAAGGGCAATACCTAAACGCCTAAAAGCCACGGAGAAAAGGAAACACAGCACTATCAGCCCAAACTAGCGCCCAAAGGGGACAACTGAGTTGCGGTGAGGCCACACATGCTCCAACATCCTCGCCAGATGTGCTGGCCTCCAACATGCTCTGTTGATGATCGAATCCTTCTTCCGCACGAATATTATTGTAGGCTGGGCTCAGGTATCAGACGTCCACCTCCTGCTCCTTGGGAATCTCCTCCCGCTTGATGGGAACAAGCACGCTTCGCACCGTAGTCCAAAGAGCGGATGCGCGTTGAAGGCTCCACATCCTTCCGCGCCCTTGCTGCCTTGCCACTTCGCTGGGACGTTCCCCATTCCCAGCACCCTCACCGGCGCTGCCGCCCTCGCCGCCGCCGCCCCCGCCGCCGGCAGCAGCACCCAACTCGTCAGTGCCGCTGTACCGGGGAGTCTTGATGCCCATGATTCTGGCTCGAATGCTGGCCGTTTTTTTCTTCTTCCTCTTATTGTGCCTCGTCGCTTCCTCCTCCTCTCCCTCGTCCTCGCAGACAAGGTATGCCACTACCGCCGTACAGTCGTCCACGACACCCTCATCGCCGATTTCCCTCCAGCGGTTACGAGCCTCCCGCACCAACCTCCGAGCCACCTCATGCGGCATTGTGCCCGCTGATGCCAGTTTGTGAATGGTCTCCATAATTTCCTGGCTTCCCATGAACTCGGTGACTCCATCGGACACGAGTGCCAGGTACCTGGCCAGCATTTGAGCGTAGAAGGTTTGGCATGTAGTAGAAGGTTTGGCATGTAGTAGTAGTATTTCGGGCACACGATTACATCTTTAAACAAATCGCCCAGGATGCACGTTTTGAGTTCCCTTTGCGCCAGTGCTCACACACGAGTAAATGATAAAAAAATTGCGGCAGACACAATCATTTGTTTGGTGTTTCATGTGGTCATTTCTCATCGCACAGCGCATGTGTGCACCTGGCACGCAGCTGGGTAGCCTAGCTAGGTGGATACGGATTACATACAGTTACAACAATAATCAGCACTACTTCAAATAGCGCACAATAGCGCACAATCACGGCTCCTGAAGATCAGTCAATCCAGGAGGGTTTAAATGTTTTTGCTAAATATTTTTGCTGTAATCCATCCACCCGGGCCCACCTGTCACCCGCCGTAAGCTTGAACGTTGCCAATTCAGGCACGTGCGTCACGCCCAGTCGTTTGGCTTGGGTGTCTCCAAGAGAACGCGTGATACAAAGGCCTGGCTGATCTGAATTTCGCTCCCAAACTCGTGGAGGTCCTACGTTGCGTCCTGCAAACTCTAGGGGAGCGATACGTCCCTGTGGCAGACACACATGCATATGCAAACACACATGCATGTGAATTGAATTGTTACAGAGTGGGAGGCTTCTGTGCGTCCCGGTGCGTGGCACGCGGTCACATGCGTGCTTTTAACGAGAAAATGCGTGTTGTTTTTGCCCTATCTCCGGTTGCAGGCCAAGCAACTGTGTCACTTTAGAAACAAAGATATGTTGTCTGGAAAGATGGAATGAAGTGTTGCTGTAAATTCGCGGGGATAACCGGCGCTACCCGCGCCAAAAGGCAATATGACCACCAAAAGAAGCTCGAGAGAAAGCGGCCTGTCGGACCAAGCACCGAACGCACAGGCGACCTGCGAGTCATATTGCTTCAACACTGCGGAGTGCACATCCTCGGGGCGTCTACCGAGTACATACTGCCCACCCTAACTCCCCACTAGCAATTCAGTTTGGGCAGTTTAAGCAATGCACCCCTTGAACCTCACTACTGCATCCTCGGTGAGTACGACAATTGTACAACACCCCCACGGGCTCTGTGTTCACGCGTGAGCCTTTCCCATCAAGTCATCTATCCCTAGTCGCCTCTTTAGATTCTGAACCCCCTCCCTCCCCTTACCATTACCACCGCAACGCAAGGGTACTCTGCTATACACTCACCCCAGATGCAAGGATGCGGTTGGCCTCATGAAGCAATCCAGGGGTGTGGTCATTGGACAGCTCGTACGCCACCAGCTCGGTGTTGGCCTCAAACCGCCCTGCCGCGTGTGGGTGTGCATGCATCAATTGTAGTTTTTGCGCCTCATTTCCGTCTTAACCTTGTATAAACGAAGTAGCAAATCGCCTTATGGTTGCATAGATGGTCACATGCATGCCATTATCACGGCAAATCCTGCAGCCGTTGCATGCATGGCCATCCCACAGGCTGTTGTACGCGGAGCTGGCTGAACCCCCCTTACAATATTACATGGTGAAGCAGATTCTCCGTTTCTGGAACCGCCTTCAAAAGCAAGTGGGATCTATTGCTCATGCCGTTTTACGGCAGGAGATAACCGATGCCCTGACCAACCCGGAATGGGAGGGTTGGGGAATCTCAATGTTACGACTGTTTTCCTTCTTGGAGTGCAACATTTGGAGTGGAATACTGCAAGAAGTCGTGGGGGTAAACGAGCGTGTTGACTGGTTGTTGAGTAGACCTCTACCCGAAGGAGCGATGATAACGGCACTAAGAGAGCGTTTGATGAGCGGCTGGGACCATACGCGTCTGACTGTCTTGCCAGAGGAGTACCCATCAGATGGGAAGCAACCGGGAGTGCAAATGGCGAAGTATAAGCACTGGATGGGCTGCCCTTTTCGGGAGCCGCAGCCGTCATGTGGCCAACACATGCTAAGGTTTTCATTCCTTGTTTAGCACATCGTAAGCTAATGCAGTTTCGTTTATGTTGCTGTGCTTTGGACAGAGCACGAAGGGGCAAGTACCATGTCCCCAGGGGGCAGCGGTTTTGCCACTGTTGTGGTACTAATAGCCGAATCGAGGATGAAAAACACGTGTTATTGGAATGCCAGGCCGATAATGATATTCGTGCTGAAGAGGGATTCGATCATCAACAGAGCATGTTGGAGGCCATGCAATGGGAACCCGCACGTCTGGCGAGGATGTTGGAACGTATGTGGGCTCACCGAAACTTAATTACCCCCTTTGGATGCTAGCCTGGGCTGATGTGCGGTGTTTTTCCTTTCCTCCGTGGCTTTTAGGCGTTGTAGTATTGCCCTTGGGCCTTCGGCTCGTATGGGTAGTCTTACAGGTATGGGGTCACGCACCCCCAACCATGTAACACACACACACATGCATGGCGATTTGGTACGTCGTCTCCATCACGACGCAAGCAGAAAGCGGAGTTGATCTTAGTAAAAATAAGAAGCCACCAGAATGTGAAGCAGCGATTTCGCGTCGTACCGCAAGCTGGCATGTGCATGCTGTTTGGTGCGACCAACAACGAAAGCCGCCCACCCCACTGATCCTGATTGCTCTTAATCCCATGCCCTGAGAGGCACAAGTCTCCCAAAGCAGCAGCAGCAGCAGCGGAAGACTCTAGCAGTATTAGCAGTTCGTCTTCTTCCAGCATTCAAGCAACCGCACACCTGCCAGGCAACGGGAGTCTCCCGCGTTGGCCACCACCAAGGTGTCGCTGACCAGCATCGCTACCACAGCTGTACAACCGGACAGGCTGCAGTCAAGCCCGGGCTGTTGTAGAAGGAACTGCTGGGTGCTTGCGAAGCCCGATAGCAGTGCGGTGCCCGGATCGTCCGCCTGAGCACAGAACAGTGAGATAGGAAAGATGCAAGCGCAAGTCTGGGCTGATAGTGCTGTGTTTCCTTTTCTCCGTGGCTTTTAGGCGTTGAGGTATTTTGCCCTTGGGCCTTCGGCTCGAATGGGTAGTTCTACATGTATCGGGTCATGCACCCCCAACCATGACAGACACACACATACACACATACATATACACACACACATATACACACACATATACACACACATATACACACACACACACAATCGGGTCATGCACCCCCAACCATGACAGACACACACACACACACATATACACACACACACACAATCGGGTCATGCACCCCCAACCATGACAGACACACACACATACACACACATACACACATACACACACACACACACACACACACACACACGCACGCACGCGCGCGCAAATCATAGGAATGCAAGGTGGCATGGCGCCCTGTTTGACGGCATGAATTCCATCGCGGACGAAGCACTATGCTAGGTAGATGGTCATTCAAACGACTAGGTTGAGAAGTCAGCCGCAGGCTGCTGGGAGCACTGTCAAGGGAGCAGCGGACGACGACGTGCTTTACGCAAGGTAGCGGCGAGGTGGCGCCTGAGTGGCGTTTTGCTGTGCGGTAAACAGCAGCAGCAAGCAGGCTGATCAGGTCCGATCTTCAGGTTCCGTTTCTCCTATTTTGTCTGTCGGTTGGATCACTTGGTGCGCCCTGACCTTGTGCCATCGATCTACATTCGGTAGGTGCAGTACCTGGGTGTGGTGCTCCCGGATGAACATGGGGAGCTGCTCCGCCGCCAGGGCAGCAACAGTACCGCCGTGCTCGCCGTGACCGTCGAAAACACCGAAGAACATGACTGGCTCCGCATCGCGGTCCCTCTCGTGTCGCAAAACCTCCACGGCCAAACAATCCTGAAACGCGCGTGTGGATAGGGGAAAGGGGAGTTGCGAACTATTTTTGGTGTTCTACTGTGGCCTGCAGGGCGTCCAAAAAGGCACACAGCAACCGCTGCGACTATGCGACGAAGACGGACTGAGGAAGCATACGCAAGTAGATCGGTTGCTATAGCGCTAATTGTACGTTGTAATCAATGTTGGCTTAACGTTTCATTTGTTTTCCTTACAGTTTTGACAGCACAGGAAAAGTACGTGTTAATTGTCGTGAATGCAGATTTAAGGTCAAATAATACAGACCGGCCCTACCCGTACGCACAGCGATGCGAAATGATGCGATACGTCTGAACCAAATTTTAGGAAATGCTCAAACGGAAAGCATGCGTGGCAGAAACTGCTGTCCTTGTATAAGGATTGTTTTTAATGCTGCTTTGAGGTACTAAAGCAGAACGGGAAACAACGAGAAAAAAAACATACATGACAGCAGCTACACTTTCGTTATTGCTGCAGGCAAATCAGTTTGATTGCTACATGCCTGGTTCTCCTTATCTCCATTTCCATCAGAACCGGCCAAAGTGTAGGAAGCATAGCAGAGCTTCACGCTTCCCGCCTGCGGTTCCAAGATCGATGATCCGTTTGCTGTGCATTTGCAGTGCCAAATGTACATTTTCGTTTACCTGGAGAGCTTTGGTGATGTTTGAGCGCTCAATTTGCTCTTGCGGCGCCCGCGGGGCACGCCGAAAGATTGTTGTCTTACGCTTCGGTGCCATCTTAAAGCCTTCACCAACGGTAAATAAAGATGAATTTATGTTTGATGTTCATTCAAGCATTTATTTAACCTCTTTAGTATGAAGAAACACTTGCTATGGGAAACGTCTCATGCACGTCCTCAGGGGCGCCTAACCTAGGATTTCCTTTGCTGCTTAACGCATTCTATGTGTTATCATCAGCAAGTAAAACTTATGTTTATTTGATTATAAAACGAGTTACATGGTCCTGGTGCAGGATGTTGAAGAGAAGACAAGCAGCCGCAGGCAGCCCCTTAATGGCTGGCCCGCAAGTTTTTAGGCCTTGGGTTGGGAGCGGCAGTAAGAATTCAGAGCTTATTTTAGTCGCAATTATTATCTCAGCTTGCACTGGGCCTCTTGCGGTCTCATGTAACGCCCGTATTATTCGCTTCTTTCGTCCTATGCTCTGCATGTTACCTGTGAGGTTTAGGACTCATTAATCTCTGGCCTCAAATTTTCTTTTTTACCTGAATGTGTGATATTTTTTTGATCGCGCTCCCGTACCACTGATGTTCACAGATCGGTGGCTTGGCCTTTCCTGGTCTATCTCGATGTGGCTGTTGTCGTGCGACCTCCCTTGATGCTTGGGCAAGGCTTCCCTGGCGCGATGAGACTAAACTGCTATCGAGCTCTGGCGCGCTGTGCCAGCGTTCCGGATGAACGAACTTAGGGTTTCTTTGTCTTCCGCAGGTCGCTCCTGCTGCTGCTGGTATCGGCTTGCTAGATGGTCCGCTTCCCTTGGCTGGCATGCAGGACTTCCCTCCAGGACCCCATAGGTGGGTTGGAGCTCCATGTCGCTGTGCGAAGGATGGACAACGCTTTCAACATCCCGCGTCTCTGTCTTACCCTGCCGGTTCCTCCCTCAGCTCAGGGATGGAGATGGCCGTAGGCGCCGCAACCTTTTCAGCCGGGGCCCACCTCACCAGCACTACCCCCTTCGGTCCATTCCACATGGGCTCTCCTACTTAGGTCGGTTTTAGTGTCCCGATGTATGGCTCTAGAATAACCCATAAAGGTGCTGTCGAGTGCTGAATGAACATCAAAGATCGGCACTCAGTGGTACCAGCCCCGCTAGGCGTCTGGACCAGGTGCATGTCCGCCCAGCTTCGGCCTGCAGAGCTAGTTCCCAACACCGACCCAGAGATCGCCCTAGGAATAGGAATAGGCCTATTCCCGGGGGTCTGGCCTAGGCCCTAACCAGATGCTCCAGGGGCCATTGGCTCCCTCCACCTGGCTTTCCCTCCAGGATGCAGCTGCGACTGAGGTCTTTTTGGTTGGCGTACCAGCCATGGCTGCATGCGGACCTGGTGGACCTGCTGCACTGTGCAGCCTGCACATCATCCTTGCAGCCTGCACATCATCAGACGATGTGCTCTTATCTATATGATAGCTTGGTTGTTGACCTGGCACCGAGGCCGAGATAGTTGAACTGTCGGGGCAGCTGCTGATATGCCATGCAGGCCGTGGTGGGTGCTTCAATGTCGCGCACTAATGGGAGGGCAACCCTTGCGAATCCATTTGGGTTCAGGACCTCGGTGCAGCATGCCAGCGGTCCCAGGTCTATGCTGAGTACATCGAGGTGTCGGCTGTGCCGCTGGCGTCGTGCAGCAAGTACCAGGCGCTCGTGTCGAGACTGCGGTCGCAGCTGGAGGTCGCCACCACCCGATTGGTGCATCTGGTCCTGCTGCGGGACCTGCGTGCTGTGCGTGTTGCTCCTGTGGCAAGACCAGTCAGAGGCGATATGATGTGTGTAAACTGGGGTTGGGGAACTTTGCCTATCATTTGTGCGAGGGGCTGCTTAAAGATACATCGATAGAGCGACATCGTGATGACAACAGGAAAGATCAGAACGCTAATCATATACTTGTAGCCTTCAGTCGGGGTCATTTGGTGAGCGTTGTTTTTCCTGGTGTCGATCTTGTAGCTCGGACTAGCTCTCGAATAGGCGGTTGTCAGCGTTGCGCACTAAAACCGGCATTTGCCGTTTGATTATGATTTGATTACGTGAACTTGTATTTATTATTATCGTCGTAACAAGTTATAGGGGCTGCGGCATGCGGAATTTACGACATCAGGCCAGAGATAGTGGCCATGTACCTGATGCACGTCTACCAAACCGCGCAAGCGGATGAAGTAGGTCCGGGTCGCGTCGCGGGAGCGAGCGCTGCTATTGCCTGCCATTTCTTTCTCGCGGGCCGCCCCTCACCTACGGAGCACCCAGCATGCAACCTCGTTCGGGACCTGGGCAGGTGCACACTGCAAGGGAAGCTCAAAAGCAATAATCGTGCAAGGAGAATGAAGCGCATCTCTGCGCATCCCACAAATAGCAATAATACTTTACTAACATATGTGCATATGTGCATGCAAGACAGAGTTCGTACGTCCGTTCCGACACATTATTCGTGCGTTAGTAGTTGGTTTTTGGCAGTTATATACGGCATCACTGTTTGTCCTTAGTAGGCCAGCAGCAGAGAATCTGGGATAGTTGGCAAAATGTCATGCCGCCTGGCCCTGGCTTCCTGGTCATCTTCAGTTATGTATCAGTACCTATCAGTGCGCGCATGTATATGCTGCTGCCGTAGCCGCACGCATGCCGTACGGCCGCCGCTGATAAGCATCATCTATATCACCTATATCATCATCGCCACCACCACCATCACCACCACCACCATCATCATCATCATCATCATCATCACCATCATCGGAACAAACTAGCAAACCTATCTGAGGGCTTCATTTGATGCACACGGCCCACAACACCCTTAGTTTTCTTCTCATTGTACGCTTAAACCGTCAAATCCGAAATGAACGTACACAAGCAGCAGACTTGCTTCACTGTACGTGTGCCCCGCTGCCAGCTGTCTGATTGCGCTACTTGCTTTCACGTTAGCACGCGAGGAAATTCATTATTATTATTACTAGATCCAGCAGCGCATCATAAAACTCGCTCAGCATTCTAGCGGTATATTTGCCTGCGTGCAGCGGCTCTTCCGCAGCCACCACCCATCCCATCGACCATCGACCTACCCCAGGGCAGGCCTGGGGGCCTGCTAGCTTCTCTTCTTGGCGGCTGGAGGGCGGGGCATCCTCACCAGCTTAAGGAGCTCTGGGCGTGGAGGCGGCCGCGGCGGGCGTGGTGGTGGGTGCGGCCACGGCGGCAGCGGTGACGGCGGCCGCGGGAATGGGGATGGTGGAGCCGGTGGTAGCTGTTGAGAGGAAGCAGTACTTAGAGGTGGTGGCCGGAATCTTCGGGCTTCGAGTGAAGGTGGTGGTGGCTTTCGAGGACGCCTTGGCCACATCGGCTTTGCAGGCGGCAGCACAGGTGGTGGCGGTCGAGGTGGCGTCCGATAAGGTGGGTTGGGAGGGGGTCGTGGAGGCTGCGGCGGCGGTGAAGGTGAAGGTGGCGGTCGCGGTGGCGGTGATGGGGGAAATGGTGGCGGCGACGGCGAGGTCCTCACACCATTGCAATCTCCATCCTGCTCCGCGTCCTGCATGCGGGACAAGTAACAGCAGCACATACACACACATAAACACACACATACACACACATAGACACACATACACACACATAGACACACACCACAACTGAACATACTGCCCTGATGCACTGATGCGCAGTTCGGGTGTCACGAGAGGCCCTTTTGGCGGCTAGTTACTAATAAGGAGGAGAAAAGGAAACAACATGTTGATCTTGAGCGACATAAACCTCTTTTGGGTTTGGAATGAGGGAAGGCAGCGGAACAATAGGGACTTTTCCGGTGTGCACGGAATTTTTTACGATGAAACAGATAGATACCATTCGGGGGACTCCAAGGACTCTCGAGGACTCCGGGGACTTCGAAATCCTAAGGGAACCCCTACTCCCCTCCCAACCACCTACCCTCCCCCTGTGTTGGGGGAGCTTGCAAGCAAAATAGGGCTGGGAACTCCCCTTGTTCCGTATTTATTAGCTATCGCAGGTATCGACCCGTATTTATTAGCTATCGCAGGTATCTGCCTGTGGGCCCAGCAACTATGTGTGCCCGTGTGCGATGGCAATAAACACACAGGGGCGTTCCCAAAGCCCCGGGCCCATGCAGCCATACGCACCACCAAGCCATCGCAGTCGTTGTCCAGGCCGTCACTGCAAGTGTTGCCGCCCTGGGACTCGGTCGGTCCGGAGGAGCGGCACACGACAACGACGGCACTGTCACCAGGCATCACACGGACGAGCCTGACAACGACACCGGACCATCCGTCATCCCGGTATTCTGTCAAGCCACCAGCCTTAAGAGCCTTCACATGCTGTGTTCGCCAGAAAGAGTCCACCAGTGACTGCGCGAGGGACGGAGATGCATGCCGAGGATTGGGGCGACACGCACGGAGCGATTGAGGCAGCAGGGCATGGCCGAATGCAAGGACCAGCTGCTGCTGCAGCGGCTTGTAAATGCTGTTGTTATTAACAATATAAAAGATATAAATATTAATTATTTTATTATTATTATTATATTATATTATTATTATTATTAATTATATATTTTTATTATTTCCCGTCTCCTCGTTACTTTTTTGCGGGCCATTCTTACTCCTGAGAGATTCATAGCTCAAAAGGCCACCAAGGCGCAAACAAAGGAATATACATAGCGGCCGGAACGAACGGAGCAAGACGAACGATGCTTGGATGGATAGAAAAGTCGCATCCATCCATCCATCCATCCATCCATCCATCCATCCATCCATCCATCCATCCATCCATCCATCCATCCATCCATCCATCCATCCATCCATCCATCCATCCATCCATTACTTGACGTCCTTTCGTGTGTTATTGCGATAAACATATAGCTGTGAGGAAAGGCAACATACAGTGATGTCAGCGGACGTGCGTGCGCATTAATTTGCGTGCGCATTTATAGCCAATTGTGCTGCAGTAGGCAAACAAATGTAAAGAAGCGAGCATGCTTCAGTTTATACATGCTTTGTTAGGGGAGCAGTGAAACGGCAAAATGTGTCGTTGACTGTCCAAAAATAAGCTTGGATGTGTGCGAAGTGTACACCATGGGGCGAGCGTAGCGAGCTGCGGGCAAAGATGCTGTGTTGTTGTGTGTGGTGGTTACAGTGGGCTCCAGACTCACGAAGAGTAGAGCCAGCGGGCCAGCTGGACGTGCACTGCACTAGAGACTAACATACAAACTAGACTCCCACCCAGATGAGACAACGCAAGTCATGGTGTGGGGCCACGTACCATCAGGTACCCCAACCATGCCCCCCCCCCCGCCCCCCATACCCCTGTGTCAAACCCAGCTATACACAGACACGCACGCACCCTATCTCCCTTGTACGTGTAAATGTTGACGGAGTTATCATCCTCGGTTGTAAGGTTTTCAAAAGGTTCATATTTAGAACGAAAGGAAATGTAGATTGCGGGCACGGGAAAGGATGGATAATAAGTCGACTTGGGCTCGTTGCCCAGGATTTTCCAATCTGGGTAGATGCGGACAAAGGATTGTCGGGCCTTAGTTTGGACAGGAACTGTAAACGTTCGCGGCTGTCCTACTGCCAATGTAGTGCCGTTGAGGTCGCCTCCGGGCAGCGGATCCAGCCAGCCCAGGCGCCACGCATTGGGCGCATTGAAGCACGTCTGTCCCCTACATACATACATGCATACATACATGCATACATACATGCATACATACATGCATACATACATGCATACATACGTGCGTGTGCGTCTGGCCCCCACTGCTGTGTTTCGGCCCTGGGAACCCCCCGGCTTTTAAGCCCACAGCGTAATCAACGACATACATACGTACATACATGCACAAGTCGATGCAGCAGGCAGGCACGTCGAGCCAAGACGACGTGTAAGCAGCTACAACTATACTTTTACAGGACATGCATTATATCTTCTTTTATTCACCTTCCCATTATACATGTAGTGTCTGCCTGTTCATCATCCGATTCGGACCGCCCCGCGTGCATTACTCCTAAATTGTGTCCCATATCGTGCATGATGCTCCTCATGTCAGGGCTGGCGATCATCGCGTCGCAGTGGGACGAGGAATTCGTACAACTTATATAGGAACTGCCTGCGTGCGTTTGAGTTCCAACGGCAGCAACGTCTGGTGAGGAGATATTAATAAATCAATCTATATTCGGGTTGAGGCGATTGCAGTGTCAGGGGCCCAATTCAAGTCGCCAAGACCCCAGAATTCCGCAACCGAAAAGCAACCGCCAATCGAGAACCTGATCGTTCTATCCTAATTTAACCCATAGTTCTCTCCCAAGTTCTTTCCCGGCTATGGGTGGATGCAACAACACCGGACAGCTTCTTAAGTCCAACCCAACGGCACACAACCCCAGATGAGCTTCGCTGCCGGCATCTCGCGTAACAATCCTTTGCGCCTCGCTGCATCAGTAAATTAAAAGCACAATCTCGATGCTCCGTTGCGTGCCCTTACAAATAATTTTAGTCATCATGAATATGCGTGCAGCATCGGACTCTGTCTGAATCATTTTTTTAGCGTTATTATAATAGATAACTCCCCGCTGTATAATTGGATGTATGGACGGTCCCTATACAATATACCAAGGCCACGAATTATTGACGATCGAAAACGTTTACAGACGACATCCTATTTTTGATTACATTGTTGCATACATAAATCTGCCTGTATGTTATTTGTCCCGCTGTGCGTATTAATGGATCCCGGTGTATGGTAGGTTGTTTTCTGCGTGCGTTCGAAACACAGGGTGGGTAATAGGTTGGAAAGCGCGGGAGGACATCGAAAGCCCCCCCGAACCCGAGCCGTGCATCACACAACATCGTGTCACGTACCACCCCATGTAGACGAACACGGGTTATTCTGCGGCAATATAGCAATCCGCTGCCTGATGCTTGAGATGGAAATTCTTGACGCGTTCTCCACAATTTCTGTTGCCTTATTAAACATGTAGAGCTTCTCCTGCCATCGGCAAAATTTAGGGCAAGGAAAATGTTCTTTCCTTTCCTTTCCCTTCGTGCTTGGCTAGGTATCGTAAGATATAGTGATGCAAGCAAGTAAACGCTGCGGAGCAATCAAAAAAGCAAGCTGGTTGCTGCTAAGCAGAATCAGAAGAGCAGCTCGTAGAGAGGGATCGGGCGGACAGCTGTGCGGATAGAAGGAGCGGCGGCACGGTGAGCCTCCTGTTTCGATGGGGAGTTCACAGCATTGCAGGATGATGGATCGTGCTCGGGATATCGACGGATGGGCGGGGGTGGCAGGCTAGCTGGCTGGATCTAACGCAGCGGCGCGCATCCTTGCCGTTTAGATCGGTCAGGATCGGTCCATCCGCCTCGTGACTGAGAGCGTACGTAAGTTCTCGCTTTTGTTATGTATGAACATAAGTTCGTACGCGTCCCTCACGTCGTCTGAGGAATTCATACATTGTGCTTGATGCGCACGCATATGTGTATGTGTGTTATGTGTGTATGAATGTGTTGTATCACGTCTTATCGCAGGAAAAGAACCGATCGGCGGATGTCAATCCCGTGATACCCAGGATACTACAGAATGTGTGTTATTTGATTATGTGTGTGTTATTCGATTACTTACCCTGTAGTAGCTGGTACACAGTAGGCTCTATAAATACGCGCGTAGCGCGACCACCAGCATCTCGAGAGGCCTTTTCGGCGGCCAGCTACTACATACCCACACGCGGCCCACTCACCGTTGTGCCACAATTCTTGGAGAGGTCGAATGGGCGATTCCGCATGAACGGGTGGTACCAGACTCCATTGCAGGGCAACTGCATCGAATCAAAGGGCAAACGATCAGGCATTTGATCAGAACCGCCTGAGCGAACGGAAATAAAGCTTCATCGTTTCCCCCCGTTCTTATCCTCTCCTGGTTCCTACCCCTCCGCTCCTCCCTCGTCACCCGAGAAGCCAGAAAGGAAAAGCGTGTACGTGATAAGCAGGATGATGGAATTATATCTATCATATATAATATCTATCATATATTATATATATCATAATATCTATCATATATAATATATACATACACACGCAGTACGGGTGGCTAGCGAAGCCCTTCTAAGCCCTACTAACGACTCACTTCAACGTTGAAAATGAGTTGTGAGGCGCTGGGCATCTGCGCCATGCCCTGTGAGCAATAGCTCACGTAATTCTGCATCGTGAATGCATTGGCTGGAGTGCCTGGGTCGTTGAGCCAGATCTTGCGGAATGTGCTGGCGTTGTAAAGGTTTTTTAGCCCACAGTAGTTCAACAAGAAGATTACGCTGGTGAGGTTAGTTACCGGTTGACGGTCTGTAACAGAGACGTCCTTCGATGACGCATCTTGTTTTGGATTATTGGCCGTCGTGGATACCTGGGCGAGCTTGCGAGCTACTGCCGTATATGGCATCTGGCTGCCGTACGTTTTGGACGACACCTGCTTGCTGTCATCCGCCGTCGCATCTTCCAAGACGGCGTTATTATTACCATCAGAAGACTTCGAATCATTCTTACTGAGAGGTAGAAGAGAGACGCGAATCTGTTGACCGGCGTGCTGCAAGGCCTCGTTATTGTTGTTTACGGACAAGCCCGCCATGATACTATCGTCGCTTCCCAGAAGGTAATTGTTGATGATTTTTCCGTTTTGGCCGTCCCCTGTTAGCTCTTGTACCTTCCCTGCATGCACTTGCGGATGTGTGTTTGTGTGTTTGTGTGTTTGTGTGTATATGTGTGTGGGTGTACTCCAGAGTTAAGGTTTCAAGGTTTTCAAGTATTTTCAAGGTTTTCAAGTTCAGTGTTCAGAATTTAGAACACGCTTGTGTGGATGTGCCGGGCATGGTATTGGGGGTTGCTGGGCCGGTGGCTGCCGGGTGAACTGGCGAGGAGGACTTGACATTTTCAGGACGTATGTGCATATGATGCCAGTGACGGCGATATCGGGTGAACGCCGGAAAATGGACTCATATCCCATATCGCAAAGAATTTTTTGCCTTGAGATCAATACATGTAATGAGTTTGATCATATTTTTGTCGGCATTACAGGAAGTTTGCTAGTGCTTGCTATGTCGATCGATTTAGGCAGAGCTTCTCTCCGCAGCACTTTCTCGTGCGTTGCGTCGGTTCGCCCCCTGCCTCTCTTACGCAACAGTGCCTAATAAAAGTGTACCATCATTACGTCTCATATTCAGCCGTCCCTGCGCCGGTAACATATTCAAACTTGAGACTAGCTTTTGATTCATCCATACCAAACCAAAAGAGGATTTAAACATCGCATAGGTGCTAGTTAAACTTCTTATAACTAAAGCAACGAAAGGGACAGCTGACCGAGATAAGCGATTCTGCGCGCGCACATGCATGGTACGCGATACGTACAGTTTGTGCGCTTTGGTTTCTGGTTGCTGCGGCAGCTCCAACGACTGCCATATTTCCAATTTATCGACAGGCAGGCACTCCCATACATACATTTATATACAGGCCTTACGCACCTTCCCGGGTAGTTTGCCGCGTTGAGGTGGCCCCAGAGTGTAAGGTTTGGGCGGTGACCGATTGCTGCGGAAGGAACTTATGTAGAGGGAGAACTTGCTTCGGACCGGCATCTTGCAATAGTGTGCGCGGCCGCGCCGCTAAAGCATATTCAGGTAGAACTAGGAGCCCTTCCAAACAAAGCCCAATTAGTACCACCATGGAAGCCAGGCCAATAGGCCTGGCTGCCATCCTATTGCGGTCAATAATAAGGCTGCTGAATAGCGGTAGGTAGGGATAGTGCTACTCTGCAAGTAGCGGTATGTAAGAGACAGGGAGTTCGAATGGCTGAAGTAAGAGTGTCGAGTCGGCTGGCTAGCGACTACCGACGCTTTACAGAGATTGTATAAGTGTAGCTCGATGACAGACTTGTTTAGCAGCTGGGTATGAGGCACTTAATAAGCGGTCTATAGGTAATAACGAACTTTTGTTAGGCACGCACACAACGGGGCGGCGAAACGACGCTTCGCGTACGATTACCGTACGAACCTCGAGCAGGAGCGAGCAGGCATCAGGCGCCGGCGTCGTGATGATGCAGAGAGAAATAAATGCAAGCCTCCCTGCACCAGAAGCTGCAGCGGCCTTGCTGGTGTTTCTGGGATGCATGCCTAGCATAGCCTGCACGGAAGTTGTCAATAAGCAAGTGATGGATGTATACGAGAAGTTGTAATCAATCATTATAAATGAACCTTGAATTTCAAGGTTTGCAACTGAAACATCTTTGCTTTCCGCGACGCACGGTTCGCTAGTTGCTCGTTCGCTGGCTTGCCCTTTCGTATCCTTCAATTTGTCATCGAGAAGAATGATCACTTACAGCTGAACGCCCAATTCCCAGAATTCCTGGCATCTTTTAGACTAAATAAATTTCTTGCGCTCATTCTTCCACATATTGCGCTGCCTTTTCCATTCCCGCTTCGCGTCGTCTGCTGCTGAAACGACACTCCGCGACTCGCTGATTACCGGTAATAAGGAGTCCACGAAGTCGCGGAGGAAGGCGTGCCCTTGTATGACGTGGATGACGTTCCAAGAGCAACTTGGTTCCGAGAAACAGTTCTGTCCCAGTGGACTATCTCCAGGGCCGTACTAGTGCCTTTGTTTATCCTTCAAGCAAATGAACGTAGGTCGTTGCACGCGGGGCATTTAAGCAACACGCGAAACCCATCTCCTACTGCATTATTGTTGCCACAGACCCTACGCAAAATTCTCTTGGCGCGACCGACTGCCGGGTCGGCTAACCACGCCCGTAAGCGAAACCGCGCACCCGTGACAATCCAGTATATGACTTCGCAGGGATGTAGCACGTCGTGTGTTTCGGCGTTCCCATCCAATGGGTATGCCGCCACATCTTAACCCTTGGTTTACGGTTGTCCGACACAAATTCGCGGGGTGTAGTAGTAAGACGTGAGTTCTGGCAGTTGTCATCAAGTCGCTCCTTCAACGTTTCCATGACATATCTAACATTGATCGGGTTCGACGAAATGAAATTGGCCTTCCCTTCTTCATCCAGATCTGGTGGCGAACAGAGCACGAAGGGGCAAGTACCATGTCCCCAGGGGGCAGCGGTTTTGCCACTGCTGTGGTCCTAATAGCCGAATTGAGGATGAAAAACACGTGTTATTGGAATGCCCAGCCTATAATGATATTCGTGCTGAAGAGGGATTCGATCATCAACAGAGTATGTTGGAGGCCATGCAATGGGAACCCGCACGCCTGGCGAGGATGTTGGAACGTATGTGGGCTCACCGAAACTCAATTACCCCCTTTGGACGCTAGTCTGGGCTGATGTGCGGTGTTTTTCCTTTTCTCCGTGGCTTTTAGGCGTTGTAGTATTGCCCTTGGGCCTTCGGCTCGTATGGGTAGTCTTACAGGTATGGGGTCACGCACCCCCAACCATGTAACACACACACACAGATCTGGGTGCAGCGCCGGGAAGTGCCCCAAGCACCTGAGGCCCCTTAGCATCATGGCAACCCAGTTGGTGACAGTATACTCAGAACGCACTGCAAGACGCACCTCCCCACGCAAAACATTGTGAAACTCAGTCCCCTTTGCAAGGATAACCCTGTTCCAAAAGCGGCAAATCAGTGAGTCGCGGTGAAGGTTGAGTTGCCATTGACCAAGCTCCCTGAACAACATACGTGAAGCTTAACCACCCTGTAACAGCATCAACATACGATTATCCGGTATCCTCGGGGAGGGGGGAAAGGGGGCCGGAAGGAGGGGACCAGCAAGGGGGGGGATGCGGATTCAAGGAATGAAGGGGAGTCACTGCTGCATAACCATGCTAGTGAACCCAACCAATAACATGCCTCGCATGCCTCGCACGGCAATCGAGTAGAGAGTACGAAAATAACCTAATGCAGTCATCGTCAGCAGAAAACGTAAGCCTCCAGCCTCATGCCGACTCTCTTACCTACCATTCATATATTCTACCTCGTTCCCAAGACTCCGCCGCGTTGCCTCTAGTTCGGCTCGTGCCACAGGTAACTTCGCTCGTCGCTACTTTGCCATTCACCTTCTCCTCCACCCAGCCTCTGCTTCTCCACAGAAGCGGCGACCCCCTTCGCCGTTGTTACGCCTCGTCTATGCGAATCCTCCTCATCCGACTGGGTCTTCTGCCTACCCGGTGCGCGCCCCCTCTCTCCGCGCATCCGTCTCTCTGGCCCTCTCTTACGGTTGCCTACCTTACTGCAGGACTCGCCCCTTGCCTGTCCGTTGCCGGGTAGGCTTTCCTTGCCTCCCCCGGCCCTACCTGGGGCGCCCCTCTTTAGCTCGTCCACTACCTTACTTCCGTCCGTTCCTGCCCCTCGGGGCCCCAACCCCTCCGCCCTTTCTGTGGGCCCGATGCCCGCTCTGGACTTATCTCACGCCCCCGGCCTCTCTGATGCTGCCCCCCCGGTAGGTTTGCCCCCGCGCCTGGGTCCTGTCTCTTCTCTCCGTCGCGCTTACCTCTCCTACCTTCTTCTGCCCTCCAGGCACTGCCGGAGCCTACTCTGCCCCAAATCTTGGCCGCGCGCGTCCGCCCCACTTCCATGCCCTCTGCCGTACTAGACCCCTCTTCCAGCCGCCAGCTTTATACCGTCTCCCTCGCGAAGGCCGCCACCGTCTGCGACAACTCGCTGGCCCGCGAAACCATTGCCCGTCAGGAAGCTGCCGGTCGGGACCTCTCTGCCTGGCTGGCCTCCCTGCCTCATGGCCGTACCCTGCTATCCTGCACCGATGACGACCTACTCGTCTATCTGGAGGCGCACTGGCTCCCCAACCGCCGTGTGGACGACCCGAGCCCCAACACCGTCAACAATCATCTGGGTCTACTCTCCGGACTGTTTAACCGTTTGGGCCGTGGCAGCACTTACGACCGTGAAACCGGCATCGGCAACCCCTGCTGCTCCAGCGCCTTGTCCTCCTACAAAACTGGCTATAGTCGTCTCGGCGCCGACCGTGGCTATGAGGAGCAAGCCGCCGTACCCCTCAGCCCTAGCGACTTCACCACCCTCATGGACCACCTCTGGTCTGGATTCCAGGCATCCACCACCTCCCTGACCCGGCTGCTGATACTACGCGACTTGTTGTGCTGCCAATTCATGTGGCACACCAGCTACCGCGGCCATGACACCGGCAAACTGCGGCTATGTAATGTGTGTGTGTGTTACATGGTTGGGGGTGCGTGACCCCATACCTGTAAGACTACCCATACGAGCCGAGGGCCCAAGGGCAATACTACAACGCCTAAAAGCCACGGAGAAAAAGGAAAAAACACCGCACATCAGCCCAGACTAACGTCCAAAGGGGGTAATTGAGTTTCGGTGAGCCCACATACGTTCCAACATCCTCGCCAGACGTGCGGGTTCCCATTGCATGGCCTCCAACATACTCTGTTGATGATCGAATCCCTCTTCAGCACGAATATCATTATAGGCTGGGCATTCCAATAACACGTGTTTTTCATCCTCAATTCGGCTATTAGGACCACAACAGTGGCAAAACCGCTGCCCCCTGGGGACATGGTACTTGCCCCTTCGTGCTCTGTTCGCCTCCAAAGCCCAGCAACATAAACGAAACTGCATTAGCTTACGATGTGCTAAACGAGGAATGAAAACCTTAGCATGTGTTGGCCACATGACGGCTGCGGCT